AATAAAACAAATCTCAAATTAAATATTTTACTTAGAAAAGATATAGCTAAAATTAATATTTAAAATTTTATTAAAAATTTTAAAATTTAAAAAAGTTTGCAGGCAAATTTGGCTGCAAAACAATTTAAGGGATACAATACATGTGTACTCGGGGTACTAAAACAAACAAGGGAAATACCCTGAGTACATATATCAAATAAATATAGTAAATCTAATTATTAAATGTGCACGCTACTATTTTTTTTATACCATTATAGCGGTTACATAAATCAACACCTTGATTATGAAGTAATATAATAATCGAATTTATTTAGACAAGATCTATACCAACTTCAAAACTTTCATATTTATTTTTTTTTGGTTGAACTTCAGCTTGTAGCTGCTTTTTTTTGTAGGATTTATCATTGAAGTCATGCATTTCGGTATACTTTCTTTATCATTGATGTTATGCTTCCTTATTGCTAATGTAGTTCTTCGTTAATGGCTCTTTTACATTTTCAGAAAAGTAGTATTTTTTTTTTTGTATGAACTTGTTTTGTTGATTTCAGTTTGCTGCTGCTTTTTTTTCGTGGAATTCGGCATTGAAATCATCTATTTTGGTATACTTTCTTTGTTATTGGTGTTGTGTTTCCTTCACATTTTCAGAAAAGTATTCTTTTTTTTTTATATAAACTTGTTTTGTTGATTTTAGTTTGCTGCTGCTTTTTTTTCGTGGGATTTGTTATTGGAGTAATCCATTTCAGTGTACTTTCTTGTCATTGGTGTTGTGTTTTCTTATTGCTAATATAGTTCTTTATTAACAGCCCCTTTACATTTTTAAGAAAGTATTCTTTTTTTTTTTGTATAAACTTGTTTTGTTGATTTCAGTTTGCTGCTGCTTTTTCTTTGTGGAATTTGTCATTGGAGTCATCCATTTTGGTGTACTTTCTTTGTTGTTGGTGTTGTGTTTCCTTATTGGCGATGTAGTTCTTTGTTAATGGTTCCTTCATGTTTTTAGAAAAGTATTCTTTTTTTTTGTATAAACTTGTTTTGTTGATTTCAGTTTGTTGTTGCTTTTTCTTCGTAGAATTCGTCATTGGAGTCATCCATTTCAGTATATTTTCTCGTCATTGGTGTTGTGTTTTCTTATTGCTAATATAGTTTTTTATTAACGGCTCCTTCATGTTTTCAGAAAAGTATTCTTTTTTTTTTTGTATGAACTTGTTTTGTTGATTTCAGTTTGCTACTGCTTTTTCTTTATGGGTTTATTGTTGAAGTTGTTTATTTCGTTGTACTTTCTTGTTATTGGTGTTGTGTTTCATTATTGCTGATATAGTTTTTCATTAACAGCTCTTTTATGTTTTTAGGAAAGTATTCTTTTTTTTTTTGTATAAACTTGTTTTGTTAATTTCAGTTTGCTACTACTTTTTCTTCGTGGGGTTCGTTGTTGGAGTCGTCCATTTCAGTATACTTTCTTAGTTATTGGTGTTGTGTTTCCTTATTGCTAATATAGTTCTTTGTTAATGGCTCCTTTATGTTTTCAGAAAAGTATTCTTTTTTTTTTGTATAAACTTGTTTTGTTGATTTCAGTTTGCTACTGCTTTTTCTTCATGGGATTTGTCATTGGAGTTGTCTATTTTGGTGTGCTTTCATTGTCATTGGTGTTGTGTTTCCTTATTGCTGATATAGTTCTTTATTAATAGCTTCTTCACATTTTCAGAAAAGTATTTTTTATTTTTTTTTTGTATAAACTTGTTTTGTTGATTTTAGTTTGCTGCTGCTTTTTCTTCATGGGATTTGTCATTAGAGTTGACTATTTCGGTGTATTTTCTTTGTCATTGGTGTTGTGTTTCCTTATTACTAATATAGTTCTTTGTTAACGGCTCCTTCACGTTTTCAGAAAAGTATTCTTTTTTTTTTTTTTGTATGAACTTGGTTTGTTGATTTTAGTTTGCTGCTACTTTTTCTTCGTGAGATTTGTCATTGAAGTCATCCATTTCGGTGTACTATCTTTATCATTGGTATTAAGTTTTCTAATTACCAATGTAGTTCTTCGTTAACAGCTTAGCTCCTTCACATTTTTAGAAAAGTATATAATTTCTTTTTTTTTGTATGAACTTGTTTTGTTAATTTTAGTTTGCTGCTGCTTTTCTTTGTGAGATTCATTGTTGAAGTCGTTTATTTTCTTCATCGTTGGTGTCATGTTTCTCTATTGCTGATATAGTTCTTCATTAATAGTTTCTTTATATTTTTAGAAAAGTATATTCTTTTTTTTTGTATAAACTTGTTTTGTTGATTTTAGTTTGCTGCTGCTTTTTCTTCATGAAATTCATTGTTAAAGTCGCCTATTTTGGTGTACTTTTTTCATCATTGGTGTTGTGTTTTCTTATTGCATAAGGAAGTTTTGAAGATATTATTTTATGCTATTATATGCATTATTTAACACTAAAAGTTAAATAATGCGATTAATTAATGTTAAACAATGCTA